AATTTAGCTTGAAAACCACAGCTTTGAAGCCTCATGCGCGCCATACCCGGGAACAGAACTGTAGCTACTTGTAGCTACCCTGGGTCCGTATAAATACTGTGTTGTTGCATACCTCTTACACACCTATACAAGTTCAAAGCACGAATGAGACTTCAAAGCTGTGGATTGCTGTGCGTGTGTAGAGGTTCTCAAGCGGTTGACGGAAAGGGAACTTGAAGTACTATACCTGGTAGCTGCACTATGGCTACCCTAGGTCTCTATACCTTGCAAGGTGCCAACTACACCTTTCCATTCAGATGATGCAAATGATGCATTTGGCATTTCTTGCATCACCACCCCTCAAAAATCACCTCCAACACAACCTCAAAAAACCTTCCCTCGAAGCACCCTCCTCCCCCAGCATGTGCCGAGTTGACGTATACCTTTCTCGGGCCACCCCCCCAGACCCCCTAACTACTCACTTCGTTCGCCAGACACAACTCCGCTAGCGCCTTCTACGAAGGCTGGCTTTCGTAATATATACCAGGACCTTCCAAGAGGTGTCTGTAAATAGCCTCTTAGAGGTTTAGGGGGTGTCCAAAAACCACCTGTGGGAAGGTCCTGGTACTTGGTCGTTCACCTCAAAGTATCCCCTCCATTCATCAACCAATGAGAACACATATGTCTACAGTCTACGCTGGGCCCTGGATCGCCTGGGCCGACCCCAAACCTGCAGACCCTGCGAGTGGCATCACCAGGCTGCTGGGGAAGTTCTTCTGCTCCGTGGGGCAGGAGGCCTCCGTCCAGACACGGGCAGTCAAAAACCGCACACCAAACACGGTTTTGGGCCCCAAACGGCCATAGCTCCGCCGTTTTCCATGCCTCCATATCGAAGGCAATGGTGTCTGGAGCCTTGGCATTGGTCTCCAGAAGCTGCAGTTGGCTAATCCTTGGAGATGCACAAGAAGAACGAACAGCACCCAGGCTCCGGTACCTCAAAAAAATAAATTTGCCTTTACTATAAACCAATCCCAATCACAAGTCAAACTCTTTCAGCATCTCTCAGAAAAGAATGGATCCATCATTTAATAAGGAACGATCCTCTGGACCAGTTCGATCCGAAGAACGACTTGGTCGTTTTTCGTCCGGCCTCGGTCTTCGGAAGGACAAAAGGTGGAAAGGAACGAAACCAGGCCGGCCCGGCAGACCTGTGTATTGAAATAGGGAGACCTCCCAGGCAATGACCCCCGTGAAAGAATTGCACCCGCATCTCTGAAATATTGAATTTCTATATAGCGTATACAGGCCTCCAAATAGATAGAAAAGTAAATCCCCACTAAAATTGTATTGGAACCGTTTCTATCTATTTGGGGACCACTATATCTGATATTTGTTGTCTCCCCAGAAAACTCGGTGTTGTAGGGTCTTGGATTCGTGGTTTGTCATAGGTGCCGTCGATGAACAAATGCCGGCAACGCCATGTAACAAGCACCTGATATAGCTTGCGCTCGAAACTGTGGGACAGGAAGGAACAAAACAGCCGAAAAGCACGCGGTGTCAGTAGGACAAAGCAGCAGGAAATGGCAACCTCCCATCGGAAGACAGCCATTGGCACGCGCCCAAGCGTCTGCAGCGGGGACTGCTGGATTGGGAGACCACGTTTAACACAATTGCTGGCACACCTGCAATTCCTTGTAGCTGAGTCGGATTGAGTCCTTTCCAACAGCTTCTGAACGTAGAGGCCTTGCAGAAAGCGGAAGAACGCCACGAAGGCTGATACAGGTGCGAACTGCAGAGGCCTAGTCTTGTCCTTGGAGAAGAGCCTGGTTCTGGGATCAAATTCAACTTCTAAGACGAATCAAGCAGCATGACCTGGCGAGCCCTCAGCATGGCCTCTGCGTCACATACATGTCTGTCAAACCATGGTGGACTCATGTGGAGCACCCTTGTTCGGCCACCATTCCCAAGCAGAGCGTTACAACACTTCTGCCAAAACGAAGATATGGTTTGATTGAAAAATTTTGCGCAAAGTGACAGAATCAGAATGTTTGTGGAGGCTGTGACCACTTCATCATAGGACAAGTCATTGAAGTAGTGCGGGTCCTCCAGAAGCTAATTTTGCAGCTCCTGCGGCCTGCGGTGTCAAATGTTCTGACCAGACTGTCTCTTTGAGAGTGAACTCCATAATATGGGCGATGACACAGTCCAACCATAGATTTCCGTTCTGAATTTGTCCTTCCGAAAGGTAATTAGATGGCTAGATGGCAAAAGCGGTGCTGCAAATACAAAGATTCCGCTTCAGATTCGGGCTGGCAGCCGGACGCTTCTGGGGTCTCTGAATTTGCTTTGTTGGCGCAACTTCGTTTTCTGACACTCTTGACGTTTGATGAATTTTGCGCACCGCTTGACACGGTTTCTGCATGTCTGTTTATAATTGTTCACTTAAAATGTGTTCTGTTCAGGCCCTCTCTTTAGAGACCACAGTCTCTGGCCGCGGCCCTGAACCTGAGTCCTGGTGTTCTCCTCCTGTTGTCGTCTTCTTGTCCTCCAGTTGTCCTCTTACTGCCCTCTGGCCGTGTTCCCGAACCATGTGTCCTCCTCTTGTCCTCCTGGTGTCCTTTCGCCGTGCTCGCGAAACCTGTGTCCTCCTCTCGTCTTCTCGGTGTCCTCGCCGCACTCGCGATCTCCTCATGTCCTCCTGGTGTTTTGTGATGTTGGAACGTGTCCTCCTGCTGTCACGCTTGTGAAAACATTGAACTCGTCGTGCTGCGCCCTGGTCGCGCGTCTACAGACGCCTGTGTCCTCCTCTTGTCCTCCTGATGCCCTCGTCCGAGCCTTGTCCCCTGCTTGCCCGCGCTGCCTTCCCGTTCTCCACCACCTTGTCCGGGTGGATTGTGGCTATGAAGACAACAGCGGTGCAGCGTTTCAAGTTTATCATCCTTGGGTTGTTTCCAACATTGGAACTCAGGGAACTGACCAAAAAAACATCCTGCTGAAACTATTTGGGGTCTATGCTGGTCTTGCATTTTAAACGCAAGCGGAAATTCACAATTTCCGAATTCTGAAACTATTGAGCTGTTTATATAAATCCGCCCGCACCGAAGGTGCTGGGGCGTGTGCATCCGGATGGCGTAGTCAATCGCAAGATTTCAGCTTTAGCTGGGGAGGCGCTTTTTAGGCCAAGAAAACGGTGTTTTTGAAGGTTGAACATCGAGTGCAAAAAAGTCGTAAATAGCGGCATCTTTAAAAAGGTAAAACACGTTGGGCTTTTTAGGACTTGGCAAGCCAGGTAAAACTGACATTAACAAACACCAACGGCTTCATGATACGGCTCTAGCTGGCTAGGGCTTCGTATTAGCCAGGTAGAACCAGGACGATGGGAATCAATGTGTTTTATTACAGCACTGAACACCTTTTGAACAGCAGTTGGTCGCAAGAAGCACACGTCGCAAAGGGCCCCGCAACATCTCACGCACACATGAAGTTCCATGTTTTTCTACGCACTATTACTAGCAACAAGTCCAGAATCCGCGCTAAAGCTCGCAGTGTCAAATAGCAGCCGTGCTAGATGTCAAACTCACAATGTGCCTCACAGAAGCGTTCAAGATTGCCTCATTTTTGTTGTTTGCTCCCACGCTATTGGGCAAGGCAGCGGGAGACTGCTACCACAAATAGCATGCTTATCTGCTACATACACCACGTTTGTCTCAGGTACAATGGAGCGCATGATATGCCCCGAATGCTCCACTAAGACGCTCAACCCCTCGGATGAATCCGCTCCGGCAGCCAGCAGCTTTGCCCAAATCTCTTCTCCCAAGCGCTTCCAGTGGCGAAGCATATTGCTGATCTGTCGAGATTTGCTCACTCCAGGTTGGGTCAGCGGTTAGCGTTCTATAAGGCCAATCTGTAAAGTCTGTAACTCTCTGTCGCTGCGTGGAACTCCTTCTCGTCCTGTCACGTTCCACGTCGATTTCCATGTGTTTGACGTTTGCCGCCTGGGCGAGACGCTTCTGAACGTGCTCAGCCTTAGCGGTCCCTTCTTCCCGTCATGCACAACTGGTCGCCGGAGAAAGCAACATCAACCGCCTTACACGTTTTTCTCCATATTTACGGCAACGCTCGGTGTCCAAAATTGGATTCCCTCATTTTCTTGGTTGTTTTCATGCTTGGCCCGTTTTGAATGTTGGGCAGAGGGACACTGCTGATACCACGCTTCCGACGTCAACGACAAGTACTACTACGATGGTTGCTGCTGCAACCACGATTGAATCTAGCCACCACCAGTACTTACAACGATACTATGCTATACCGGAACACTAGCACAGACGTTTCTCCCGGTGCGGGCAGACCCAGCCGCGCTAGCGGCGCGAATTTTGGCCGACTGAGCCATGAAAACTGGGGCCCTTTACGGGACCCTCTCAGCCTGGGCCCAATGGGTAGACATTCTGCATAGTTAGATCACTCAATTTGGATTCTGATGTATTCTGATCATAGATCCCCTTGCCAAGATCCCTCTTTCTAGGAGAGCTCTAAAACCTGATACCCTCTCAGAAACCAGCAACTGCTTTCCCTCTCAGCTGGGACACAAACTTCCCCTTTCGGCCACGGCTCTGACTGGTGCCGGTGACCTTGGCATCCTGGAGAGAGCTGGCCAAATCCCAACGGTCGTTGTTGCAGTCGTCGGCAGTTGCCCTTCGACCACTTCTGTTTTGGGAGTATGGCTGGTTTTCATAGGTATACCCCTATAGGCGGGACTTCTAAGGGAAGCAAGCTGAGCTCCTATAGGCGTTGTCCCTCCAAGCCAGCCTAATGGTCATCAAAATCCAGGAGACATGCTCTAGAGTTCATCTTTGGGATGTTCATCAGGCTATCAGCATCACATTGGAAAACACACGATGGCCCTATCTATCCAGGCACTCACCTGATGACAGGATCGCCTACAAAATCCTACAAAATGCCTCTACATCTTTGCATGTGCAAAAACGGCGGTCCGGGACCAACACCAACGAGAGGAAAAGATTGGGTGCCTTTCCAATAAATAGTGATCAGATGACCCAAAATAGATCAATCAATAGCCCAGGCCCCAGGCCTAGATCTATATCTTCGTGATAAAGCTGGGACATGCTGGGATCAATCCAATGTATATCAAACTATATCAATCTAGAACAGTGTATGGTGGATCCATGCCTATCCATGTCTCACTGCATTCCAGTGGACGATGGTCAATCGAGACATGAAACCCCCAACATGAAGAGTGTGATCAGTTGGAGAAAATGCCACTTCCCTCGAAGCCCTTTCTTCTCTTGCAGCTGGGCTTCTTGTCCCGTCCCTTCCGTTCGCTTCCATTGCGCCGACCGAGGTGGATTGGGCGGAACTGGGCCGGACGACTGGTGGGCCTTCAAATGCACGTCTCGCAGGGCGCCCACGTTGATCGGTGGCATCTCCAGCCAGCCTTGTGGCACAGCCGTCCTGAGCGATGGTGGCCGATGTTTCACAAGGCTTTTCTGGGGGGGGAAGATCTACGTGCACGCCAATGCTCATGTCCACTTGTTGCAGAGGGAGTGTTGGCAAACTGTTCAGTGAAAGCATCTAGGTATGGGAACAGTTCTTGGATTTCTGTCGCCACCATCCTAGGCGTGATCTATGGTAAACATGTTTGCTCGTGCTAGTGGAGAAGATCCCACCTGCAAACTAAAAAGAAGTGAAGAGGTCGACGGGGCTATTTCCACTTTATTGGGCATGAAGAGTGAGTCACCCGGTTTCCACCGGTGCGGAAGGTTTTTTCGGGACCATGAGTCTTACGGGCGATCCAAATGGAGTGATCCAACTCCTTGAAGAGTGCAAGTGCCACACTTCTCGATCTCTCCCCGCCGAAAATGGGCGATCACGCGGGAGGGCGGCGGGCGCCGAACGTGAAACACGAGCGTTTCGACGAACGGGGGGCAGCTCCGATCGAATCCGAGAACGGAGCTGAAACAACTAAAGAACTGAGAACAACAGAGAACAACCAGAAACAACTTGATGAACAGCAACCAACAACTGTTTCTTATACTAAAAAAAACAGCTGGATCGACTTCCAGGAACCAACTTCACCTCGGGAACTGCTTGGGTCTTTTGCGGGTGTTGGTGTGTCGCGTGTGTTGGCTGTGGCTTTCAGTCACTCTCGGACTCTCAGCTGAAATCTGGTCCAAGACTCTCGTTGGCCTTCAGCAAGCCGTGGATGATCTGATGAACCTCGGATCATCAGAAAGCCGGATCAGCGCCGATCGCGCGCTCGAGCGACGTGGGCGGCTCCGCGCGTTCATCCGGTGGTGTCCACATGGGGAACCAGTGGTTCGTGTGAAAGAAAGCACGTACTACTCATGAGGGTGAAGCTGGTGGTGTCCCCGCCCTTCGTCGCAAAAGCTTCAGCCCCCAGTCCGCTTCCAGACCACAGCCAATGACGGGCGGGAAATGGGGTGAAGCTCCCAACTGAGGTTGGCTGTCGACCTTGGCCGTTACGAAGAGAACAGGCCAAACCACGCCAAACCTTGTTGTTGCGGGTCGAACCCGGCCGTTGCAGGCTCCCTGATCAAAGAAGTGTGAAGCACCATGCCACATGAAGCGAAGCACCATGCACCGACCAAACAAGCAAACACGACATGAATGGAATGGTCCATGGATGTCCACTGCGAAATGTTCACCTCCTGCATGTTTGACCCATATCCACTTCGAGCAAGCTTCGGAGCAAGTAATTCCCAACTAAGTATTGCAACAGCTAGGATTTCGATGGATTTAGCCAGACTTCCTGAACCACTTTCTTCAACACATCACCTGGTTCGGAGTTCGTTGTCCAGAGAGTAGCTGAGATAGACTTCGGACACTGTCCAAGTGGGCATCCGTTCAGAACTGATAGCTCCAGGAGCTAGAAACACCATTGATCGTCAGGCTTTCTGCATTGACACTTTATGTTTTAGTCTAACACCGCCTCCAGTCCCGTGGTGTTCCATTGTGAATGCATGAAGTCTCACCGCTGCTGGATGCTGCTGGGGAACGTATCCCTGAATCTGTCCATCCAAAAGCTCAGGCCAGTTGTTGAACTTCTCCGGATAGCGTTCTGAGGAAGTTTCGCTGGATGGTGCATCCAAATCTGAAGGTCTAGAGGTGTCTAGAGTCTAGAGCTGGGGGGTGGCAAGAATAGACCTTTCAAGCATCATTTATATAGCCTCTGGGTGTACTATTTTTCCTTGGATTACATCTTTCTTGCACATGCACTTCATGTCCAAGTGCTCCCTGCAGACTGCTCCATATGTAGAATGTAGAAACATGCATTGTTTCAGAGCATCCAGTCTTTGATCGTTTTGGCCTGCTGAAACTGAACTCGACATGCTGAGTTCAATTATGCATCCCCCCAAGCAAAACGGCCACCCAGCCGCACCCATCCAGCAAGCGCTCCTTTCACCTGTTGCTGGGCGTCCTGCTCGCTGATACACTCGCTGGGCGAGAGATGCTTCTGCAACCTCAACAAATCTGTCTTCCTCGATGCCCCCTTGCACTGAGGCATAGAGAAGATCGTCCTCTATTCTTTTTAAATACCTCAAGATACCTCAAGGACTTGCAGGGAGGAAATGCTCCGTTCACAACAGGATGTCATTGGTTGCACCATGGGTGTTCAACCACCGCCAACAACGCCTAAGCAACGACTTTCTCGAGGCAGGTCTTCAAGCATACATGGAACCTTTTAGAAGGATACTCATGTAACAGACTGTTAGAAAGGATACCCATGTAACAGACCTGATTATTTGTTCTGTTCTAGATCCCTCACCAAGTACACTCTGCATACTGTCATACTCCCAGATTGATGTTTCATTCTTCTGGATACCCTCCGACGAACACGTCACATGGAAGCGGTCGGAGTTGACCCCCCTGCTTGTAAAGGAAAGTGATGAAAGTCTTCCTTCGGGACTGGAAACCGCCATCCACTGACTTCCATAAAAACGTCTTCGGTGTCCGTAGTTCCTTCCGGTGACGTACGTACTGACTCATGGGCTCAGCCCAGGTCGCATGGAGTTGATGAGATTCAACCCCTTGTCCGAGGTCGTGAGGCCTCGGATGTCGGATTCCAGTCGAATCGGATCGAAGAGTCCGATCGTTGGCTGGTCCGGAGAGGTGTGAGAGGTGTGTGATGTTCTGAAAAAAAGATCCAGGTCATACACACATGAAGGTGGGTTCTAGATTATAATAGACACTAATCATCACTAATCATCACTCATCTATTTGTGTGCATTGCACCCTTTTTCCTTGTGACAGTGAACCTCATCTCAGATATGTCCCGGGTCTTCATGTGAAAGTACGACCGGCCAAAGATTTCCAGGTTCCGATGTTGCTGGGCGCATAAGAATCAGTTCTGCGAGGAAGCGAGAAGTCTTGCAAACATCAGTTCGCCAAACATAAGTTTTACGGTTTCGTGCTCTGTGGGAAACACACAGCTGAAGGAAACACATCCTGCCTTGCTTTTTCCATTGTATCCTTCAACGCTGCTGAAGGAGGTTTACATCATAGACGCCACAGACAGCACCCTCAGTCCCCGTATGTCCACACCGCCCACACCGCCCACACTGCAGAGCGCCCCCCAATCGACTCGACTGCGACGTCCGAGTCGCGTGCAATGGCGCCGGGGAGGTGCGCCTCGGGCGCCGGAGACCAGTATCCCACTCAGAGAGAGGGTCAGAGTCCAACGAGAACCCACCTTCTCTCAGGCTAAGGGATCTGAGAGATCTGAGGCGTGAGGGGCGACTGGGGTGGGCTCCAAGACTTGGGTCACAGTTCGAACTGGAAGCTCCCCGGTGGCTCGATGCTTCACCAAGATCGCGATCTTTCACACTCGGTCGCTCCATCAAAACTGCTCTGGTCCAGGTACACGAAACATGAAAAAAGCGATGCTCTGGAATTTTGATTCTTTCTCCCTGACTCCGTCTATAGAAATTCGATGAAACCGTTGATGTTCACTGTGTTTTCTGGTCAAAGGGTAGAAAAAGCGTCCGAGACTCCGCGTCCCGTGTGTCGGGGCAGCGTCCCGTGTGTCAGGTCACCCAGGAGCCTCGTAGAGTTCGTTGAAGATGGTGACCATCACGTTGAAGAAGTCGGAGATGTCCTCGAGACTTTCGGGGTGCTGGGCTCAAAAGCGCCGTTGTTGGAGAAGATTGCAAGAATGTCTGAAGTCTGTAGTCTATACCTAGAGCCCGACTGACCTTTGTTTTGCCATATTTTGGATAGTTGATCCTCCAGAACAGGGGTCACAAAAAGGCTCCAGGTAGCTATATTACTCATATCTCAGGAAGGTCCCCAGGTCCCAGGTCTCGTGGCGTCCTTGTCAGTGGTTTCCGAGTCGGGCCACAGCGTACGCGTCCGGATCTGGACACGAGGGACCCACGCGACATGCCGCTGAACTGGGCTTCCACCAAAAATTGTTTATCCAAACAAACCAGAAACTGTATGACTAATGTATATAGTAATGTAGTCTAATAAAGCTAGCCTATTTCAAGAAATTCCAACAAACATGGAAGCGGAAGAACACCAGTGGGTGAAAAGTTCCCGTTAGAAAACCCATAGAAACCAACATTAGGCGGGACAAAGGTCTTCCTGACTCGTCTTATAGCCAATGATGTCTGTTTGTCAAACTATAGAGGGATCATTTACCTATTGATGATTTACTGTGATTTACTTACGGGCATCCTCTTTATAAATCAACCCAACCAAGTTGCCAACAGTAGAAAGGCCATCTAGAATGGAAACCGCTCTCATGAATGGATCTTTCAAAGGATCCAAAACCATCCAACACTCATTGGGCCAGGGTACTGGCACAATGGGTTCTTCCTATTAACATACACACCCATGTGGCTGTGGGTCATGGTAATCCGATACCGACCAGTGGACCTACCTGGTCGTTCCCCCGTGTCCTGCTCAAGCTGACCCTCGGTGTTGGCGATGTAGGACCTTGGCTGTGCAGAAACATCCATGGGGGTTGAGTCTCTGAAAGCAGAATGGACTCTGTTCTTGCCTTACTCTTGTTTCTAGAAGTCTCAGGTGGACATGGGTCATGTCAGGCAGCACAAGGTCGATAAACCTCAAGGTATATATTATATATAAGTCTATAATATATATATATATATTATACAGTAATATACAGTATATAAAAACAAGTGTGGCAAAGGGGGTTGAACCCTCCAGCTCTGATCTTCGGAAGAGTCAGCAGACCGCTATGCTCGTTCGCTCGTTCTGCTCGTTCTGCAGATCTCGCACCTCTGCAGAACCTCTGCAGACCTCGCCCTGGATAGACTGGCCTTGGGGAGACTCCGGCTCCAAGTTCGGGCCTGTTTTCATGGAGAAGATGTGCATACCCCAAACTCCGAGTCACTCCCTGGCAACATGACTCCAAAAAGCCCGTCCCAGGGGTTCAGCCCTCCACCGCCGCTGGTCTCCCGTGAAACCCAGTGGCAAAGGGGTGGAGAGGCCCTGGAAGGTGACATTCATCCACTCCAGACTCGGTGCTTCCAACAAGAAGGAGCGCAAACAATTCTCCGGATCCTCGGCTGGGCTGGCTGGGCTATGGCGGCTGCCAGGGGCTCCTGCCAGGGGCCAAGAATTTCTGAGCACCGTATTGGTAGGCTAACTGATATGGCTGCTGATGACCGTCTGAGCTTGGAGGTTCCACTGTCCAAAAAGTGAGACGCTTTAACTTCTGTGAGCATCTCGTAGGATCAAATGACCGAGAAGAATGTGAACATGGCATGGACATGCTGACATTGGACACACATGGCTGGCAGCTGGGCATAGCCTTCATTTGAAGGTGGTGGCGGTTGCCGAGATCTTGGACATCTAGAAACATTCCCGTGCGCATTTGGCACCTTGTAGCATCTTGTAGCAGCCCTGTGACCCTTTGCTCCTTCACCGTGTAGATCGTTAGAAGCCAAAGTACCAACATACAAACAGAAAGCAAGGGCTCCAGGTCTGGTGCTCGGTTGGTGGCGTTGCTTCTGCCAATCTCAAGGCCCAAAAGCGTTGGCATTTTTTTCAGCGAAATCCGATCGTTCCACCTCCCCACCCCACACAGACCGGTCGATGGACATCGCCTGTCTTCCCAGCCTCCGAAACCGGCGGGTCGCGCGGTTGGAAGACCAGGGTACCACCAGCAGCTGCGCAATGGTGTTGCTTTTCATCATCTTCTCCAGGCCACAGGGCACCCGCACCCTCGGCTCTGTTTCAGTGTTGTCAGTGGGCTGTGGCCGGCGGCCAGGTGAAGAAGGGCCGACACTAGGACTGGCATTTGCGGAATCAGGAAATCGAATTCGTATTTTTCCTCAAAGGGGATTTACAGTACAATGATCTACCCGATCCGGGAAAATAAACAAATCACCTGATCCGCAAAACCATGGTTTATATAATGGTTTTTATTTCAGATGTATTGATTCACGTCCACGAGTTTGGTGCATTCCAGTTCTCCAGAAGCAATCCTGCGTTTGCACTGGATCGTGACATCAGAACTTCTTGGCTGGACACAGCATTACCGTTTGATTGATGTCAGAGGTTCCAAAAAAGAATCAAAGCAAAATGAGCCAGCAGGATAGGATAGTTGTGGTGATCAGAATCTATCTGGGGTATCTAATAGGCGTCCATACAGGCGTCTGGTACCTCGTTACTCCCAGCGAGGGGGGTGAGCTTTACTAAGAAATGCACCAGCTCATGAAACAAAGACAACAAGCAATGATATATCCTATCCTATCACCGGCTCGAAATTCAGGACCCACTGCAATAGCAATATTACAGGAAACCTCTTCATGTGGCACATGTAGATGTGCTCAATGAAAGATGTTGCAAGACCCTCTTGGATCCTCTTGGCTACTAACGGCACAATGGAACAATGGTCATCCCTGGTTCAGTGGAAGAATTCATCTTCCAGCAATCCACTTGCCAGAAAGCCCTACTGTGGTCTTACACTTTTCACCCAAGGCATATCGAATCAGGTCTCCACTCAACTCCACCCAGACAAAGGAAGCCTTTGGGCGGGTGTTCATCTGCAGCGGATCGAAGGACAAGGACCAAAGAAAGACCCTGGCAGCTCCGTAGGAGCCTTGACCCCGAAAAAAAGACACCCCAAAAACCACTGCATCGGTCAGAGCGGATGGTCAGCAACCTGGTGCTGCAGGACTTGGCTCCGAGTCACTCAACAACCGAGAACAGTCTGAGCGAACGACCGTCAAGCCGCGGACCGCGCGCTCCGCGCTCCGCGCGCTGTCATCGAAGCCATGCATCTGAACAGAGACCGAGGGTTGCTTGGCGCCCACCATGAAACCTCGAAGTCGATGCGAAGTGGGACCAAGGCCCGGGAGGTCTGCGGACAGGACAGTGTCTGCAGTCCCGCAAAGATGAATAACTAAAAGGTTACACCCTGAAAGAGACCCGCATGGAACCTGAAAGCTACTAGGTTGTAGAGGAAAATAGTCTTCCAAAGGTCTAATAGGTTTTAATGTAAACCTTCCAGAGTGTACCCTGTGGTGGGAAAGAGATTCTTTTTCTGGGGTAATGATACCTGGCTGGAGAAAACAGAAACGTCGATTGGAGGGGGAGTTGGGGTCTCAGATCGGCCAGACTGGGCCATCACCAGACTGGGCCAGACTGGGCCAGACTCACCATACATCCGTCTTCGGTCCGCATTTCTTGTGGCCCAACAGGGTTGCACACGAAAGCTCGGAAAGAGACCTGGTTTTCCCTGACCCGAAAGCTCGGCACGTTGGACGGGTGGGCCATGGGGTGGTGTTCGGCCACGCAAGGGGGAAGTGGAAGAGGACAGGTGGCTGTATGTGGCTGTGTAGCTAGACCGAATCCCAGGCGTGGCAACGAGCGGAAGGTGATGACTTTCATGAGTTCCGTGGCGTCGTGTACGTGCGCTCATCTATGCCAGGTCTGGAAACCCAAATGGAAACAGTAGAACAGAACATCATCAAATATCCCTTGCAAACGCTGTGTTACACGAATCACCAATTCTCAACCTCTAGTGAAAGGTAGATCGAGTCTCAACCCGGAGAACTGTGAGCGCTAGTGATGTGGTAGTTGCCCTAGGTCGCAGATCAACTGTTCAAGTGGGGAATGGTTGATCCAGCTTTGAATCGGATGTTCTCCACAAGCATCCAATTTGACCGAAACTTCTACAAACATCTTGCGTACCATGAAAGGTTTGTTTTATCAAGCTGTATCAAGCAAAAAATATCAAAAAATAATGAAGGCCCGGCAAATCCTTCCAAAGGTGGCAAGAACACCAACAGAATCGCAGATTCCAACAACCGCACGTACAATCATCACAACCCACAAATGCAGCAACCACGCTCACCTCACCCACTCCCATCAGATTCTGCTCGCTTTCAGAAAGGCAACGAAAGCGTGTAAAACTCCCTGTTGTTCTCCCGTCCAAAGGATCCAAGATATCTGACTGTGGGTCAAAACCGGGATAGGTGGTTCACTACATGGTGGACCAGGAACCTCCAGGTCGTTCACTACCCAACTACCCCTTGGAACCATGCAAAAAGCTCCACAATGACATGGTTCGGCGGTTCTACTACAAAGGAGTCAGTTCTGCATCAGGTAAATACCATGCTTCTGCTCCAGTGGTCCCCCTGGGGTGGCTTCCTGGCTTCTCTATATAGGTGACCCAGGGGCTGATCTCCTCCACCAAGGAGGCCGTGGGCGCGGCGCCCTCGGCCGTGGACTTGGCCTCCACGGTGATCTGCAGCTTCAAACCTGTGACCGACGAAGCGGACGGCCTGGTGTCAACAGGCCCCAGGCCCAGGCCCAGGCCCAGGAGGCCCGGAGAAAGGACTGGGAACTGAACCGCCATGCCCTAAGCAAGCCTTTCAACAAGTCATTGGAAGTGGAAAAGGGGTTTTCTTGCAAAACACGGGGGTTGGGACCTTTTTCCCCACCCTCTCCACATTGTTGGAGGGAGAGATTCCGTGGGTTTTTTGGGACCGGAACCTATGGCAGAGATTCCGACGGCTGTCGAACGTGGCAAGAGATGGGCACGGGCACGACAGCACCACAAAGCTCTCGGGCTGCGGATTCGTCGTACCATCATGGTGGCATATGGTGGCATGTAGGCTCGTGGCTGGAGCAGTGTCCTGCTGTTCGGTCAACTTCAAAGACCAGCGAGTGATTGGTCATATGAGCCCCATGGCACGTGGACAATCCCCGCATGGCGTGTTCGACTATGTCTGACTTTAAAATAGTTTGAGAAATGGTGTTGTCCTTTCTCCAGAAACAACACAGATGTGTTTTCCCATACTGACCTTTGGATCAGTCACATCGATGCTGTGCTGTAAGAGTGACATCTGGACCTTGGAACCCAGAGACGTCTCTGGGTCTGCTGGTTTCCATGCACGTCGCCATACCTCCCACGCGAGGTAGCGGTGCTTCACCACCTGCATCGTTGACCTGCAGCTGAGACACCCATGGTCATCGCGGGATGCTCCTGGCTTTTTGGTCGGAGTGTTAGTGCCCAAAAACCGCCTATTCCGCGCATGCCGCATGCGCTTGCGCTTTCCGCCGCGAATGCCGCGCGTGCGGCGGTGTAGGGTATACGGTCCGGTCGGGTCCTTTGGCGCCGACCGACGGTGATCCACTTTGAAAGGCACCAGGCCAGCGAATCAGCGACAGGAGGTATAGGCGCATCGTAAATCCCTGATGTCAGGGAAATCTGGCTGAACACATGAAAATTGTAGAGCATCGGAAAAAAAGAACTCTCATGTCGTTGAAGCCAAACGGAACGTCGGGTGAAACCTGGTGGAGAACAGTCGGAATGACTGGAGGAATGAGGTTTTTTTCGAACCGGGAGTCTTCAAATGCCAGCTCTTTGGAAAACATGGGAATCCTGCCATGGCGCTTGAGACGGACAGATTTGCGACCAATGGGTGCAGGGTGCAGGCATCGCAGCAGCTGGCGCTGCTGGATGGGCCGGGCCCGATGCCACTAGGCTTGAGACAAACGAGATCCAGCCCCGCACAAAATGGCCTAAAACATCTGAACGATCCATCCTTTCATATCCTTTCCACTTAAATCAGTCGCATCTCCACATGAAGCGGAACCGTTCACCCTGCACGGCTGTGGAACCTCCTCCCTTCCTCCCTGTCTCATGTGTTTCGGCACCCTGTCTCACTGCGGAACGAACCATGGACTCCGCACATCGACTTCATCCCCGTCTCCACCGGCCGCCGGCCCTCCATCGATCTCTCCATCGATCTCTCCATACTCCTCGATCAAAAAAGAAACGAATTCGCATCGACGATCCGACGAGCCGACGTTCGCTCCTCGGTGCCCAAGTTCAAGGACCCTCTCAGCTGCGAGGGGCTCTCGGCCTCCACCGCATAGGCCTCACGGAGTGAGGGCGGTCGCGAGCGAGGCGGAGAGAAGCCTGGAAGGACGTGGGAACGCTCGGCAGCAAACGTCACTGAAACCATCATTTTCGTGATCTGCCAAACGATGAAAAGGAATTGAAAAGGAATTGAAACAAAAAAACAGACTTCCAAATACATCTTCAAAGGTTCCCATCCCCCGCCGAAGTGGAGTCCCAGTCCATCAATCCCGTCCAGACCGGATCATTGCCGTCGGCTGGGAGCCTGAACCCCTTCGATGCCTTTGAAATAGATCTCTCTCATCACCACCTCGGCTCGCCGAAATATCGATCCCTGCAGGACATCGTATGACTAAAAGGTCGGAGCACGTGCGTGCATGAGATGTCTATAGAAATGGGGGGAGGTTAAGCAGGTTCTTTTGGGAAGGAGGAAAATGAATGAAAACCAAGAACTATAGAAGAAAAGGTAAACAAAAACCTACGACAACTTTGAAGCAATATAAATTACCACCTGCGAGGCTTGTGAGGTCATTGAGGTGTCAGGTATCCGTCTGGCGGGGGACACGGGGTGAACCGACTTGACTTGTGGGTCGAGCTTGAAGGTCTGAGGATTTACACTCCGAATCATTCTGGAAGTGAATGGCACCTGGTCGTAGAAGATGTGAGAATTTCCTGGTCATCCTTTCGGGCAAATTGTCCACTTCCATGATTCCAGGGAGTGCAACCTGTTTGCCTTCAGTGCCCCGGACAGTGAGTTCCAGCGACCAGTTGGGGCCATTCAATGGCTAGGCCATCGGCTTAATTGGATTCTCAAGGGCGGCTGCAGCTGGACGAACGGCACTGGTGATCCACCCTGGTCGAACAACCAGCTGTAACAACCCAACCCATGCTTGTAAGGAGGTGGCACGTTCCCTTCCCCTGTCGCAGATCGACCAACCTTTATGTCAAAACGAGGATATATAATGATATATACCTATCTGGGAGGTCAAGCTACATGGTGTTGGGGCTCCAAGTTTTTCACCGGGAGACAGCGAGTCGATCTCTCTGCCACTCAAGCCCACTCTGGAGCTGAGTTCGACGATCTTAGAAAACAGCCGTGGTCGTCGAAGCATACGGATTCTGGATCCGATGTGCTGGAAGATCTCTGCGTAGAGAGTGGGTTTCTCCCGCAAAGCCACCAAGCTGGGGGCTAGGCTCATAAAGTTGAGTCGTGCTTGGACTCCCATTTGGCCTTCGTCGAATGCCGCTTCCAACATCTGGTCAAATTCTTCTTGGCTCATGCCCATCTCTTTCCACAGGCTTTCAGTTTCCACAGCCCCCAATGCCGACTCATAGTACGGTCTCTTGAACCCCAGCCGATGCCCTTCTAGCGTTTCTGGAATCGGTCGCTGCGGCTCTCCGTAACTAATCTCGAGAGCGAATTGCAACAACGTGTCGGGTCCTTCAACGTCAATCTCTTCCACGACACTATGCATTGAATGTCTTGATGATGCCTCACGGGCTCCTGAAGGAAGAGCTGACGTTGCAATGCTGGTGGCGAGGCCTTTCATAGTCACAACTGAACTGGTTGGAGCACTGTTGGGGGCGGGAGTTTGCTGAGTGAACCGTGGAAGCTTTGTTGGCCCATACATATCTGCCAAAGGTGAGCTGGCTTCCCTCTTGGGCAAGGCCGGAGCATCTGGCTTGATCTCCTGTGGTTTGCAAGACTCTGGACTTTCGGCAGCCGATGGGCCAGCACTCCTGAAAAAGGAAAACCAGCCTCGGGCTTTGTCCTTTGCTGCACCAGCCTCCTCACTATTTGGCAGACCAGGGTTGACCATGGACTCATCTGCAGGCTCTTCCATCACCTCATCTCCTTGCTCATCCATGCCTTCAGGCTCTTTGCCCTCTGGTGCCTCAGACGTCACGACCTTCGTGGCTGGCCGGAACCTCTCGCCCAATTCTTGTACAGTAGCTCTTTCAACTTTCGCTCCATTTCTGCACCTTCGGCAATCTTGGTGGTAGCACAATCGGCCTTGTCCTGCAAGTAGCTCCAAGTTTTAGACCCATCCCCATTTGTTTCACACATGCCAGCTCCTTTGGCAAAGGCATGATTACATCGGCACAGACCCCAGATAGCAGGTGTATAGATTTAAGGGAGACACCACGGACGGCTGTCACCGCAGCACGCAACATCAGACTAATCCACCAATATGCGCACCATCTATCAGCTGAATGCGCGCGCTTTGCCCAACACAGATGCAAACAAAATTGGAAGATCGGCAAGGACCAGCCAAAGCTGCCCAGATGACATGATGACCGTTGCTGCACAACACGGCGTCATGCACAATATGACAGCATGTCGTCCCTGGCATGACGTGACGTCACCTGGCATGACATGCCCTGGCATGACGCGGCGTCATCCCTGGCATGACATGATGCCGTCTGCATGACATGATGTCATCCCTGGCACGACGTGATGGCATGTCTTCCCTCACGAATGATGTCATCCCTGGCATGAAGCCACAACGAGTGTCTCTCTCCATGGCCACTTGTGCCGAAAAAAAGTGTGTGTGCAGCGCGACTCTCAAACAAGCTGAAGTGCAAAGTCACTCATCTTGCAGCTGCCCAAAAAGGTCTTCATGCACTTGACAGAGTGTGGAGCAGGTTTGCCAAACCACACGCCCTCTGGGTGCAGGAGGTGGAAAACAAGCTCATCAGGTCGCTGGAACGGCTCCAGCTCCATGCCAACGCGGCCTTTGATCCACAGTAGCACCTCCGATCAACGCAAACATGAATGTTTCAACGAGACCTGGATGGGACTTTGAGTTTGAAGAAGTTGCACGTTCGTGTTTCAGCCTGCGGGTTGGTCGGGACATGGAAACATGCAGACCAAGAGGTTCAAAGCCCGCCTCGCTGTTGTAGTCCCGAGCAGCCGCAGCACGTCCCTGCAGCACTTCGAGATGCATATCGTCTGACTCCGTCCAGCTGCACGCAAAGCAGTGCATGTCAAAGGAGGAGCGGATGAAGTGGAGCATGTTAAAGGCGCAGCTTGTTTGATGAAAAACATTCTGGTTGAAGGCGTGGTAGTGAGCAACAGCCGCCTTCCACGAAGCAGACGCAGATGGTGTATGCACCAATGTTTTTATCCTTGTGAAAGCCCTCTCAGCTTCTTACCTTCTGAAAAAGCACGAACTAACTTTCTCTCAAAAAGGCAGAATGTCTGAACCTCTCTGGCATGTTCGATGGGACAGCCTGTTCCGCGGTGTAACCCCACCCCCCTTTGCCAAACTATGAAACCTCAACGACAGGATACAGCTCAAGGATAAGCATGGTAGTCCAGATATCTCCTTCTAATTCGCAATTCGAAGCCTCAGCTTCGCTATGAAAATCTTGATTTTGTCATTTAAAATCTGACTTTCGTTATTAGTAAAGCAGTACCCTGCAGCGCCCGCAAAACCAAAACGCCGATCCAGAGCTAGCACCTGCACCAGCATCAGCGCGGCAGCAGCACCTGCAAAACCAAAACACCGATCCTGAGCCAGCACCTGCACCTGCACGAGCATCAGCACGGCAGCAGCACCTGCAAAACCAAAACGTCGATCCAGAGCCAGCACCTGCACCTGCACCAGCACGGCAGCAGCACCAGCAAAACCAAAACGCCGATCCAGAGCCACACAATTGAGAAGTTAACAGCCCGTATAGCCTGCATTCTCAACAAAAAATCCCCTTCGGACGCCCTCGGAGCTAAGCCAAGGAACATGGTATTCGAGAGGCAAGTTTGTACACCAGCATCGACCCCAAACAGCAGCGGCAGTCGGAGTTTTCTGTTAGCATCCAGACACGCCATGGGAGACAAGGGGAGACAAAGAGAGACAA